AAATAATTGTCTGACTTCTATCGCATTTCGCAAAATGCTGCACACATTTTTGGAATGGTGTTCAGATCAAGTGTCTCCCTGCTTGAGCTGCTCCAATTTGCGATAGTCGAGGCCAGTGGAACAAGCATGACGACATTAAGGGGTTGTTTTTTAACGATTTAATTCGGTTCGCAATCGTAGGTCATTTTTTAGCTAAAAGTGGCATTCTTATCCTCTATGTTGATAAAAGAACACCAATATTCAAGGGCGACACAGCTTACTTTTTGCCAGGATGTCCATTATGAGCCTGGAAAATAACCCAGCTTTAATTTCAAAGATACCAGCGCCTTTGCACGTGATATTTTTAATAGGCATTACTAACGTTGACGGGAATGTTGCCGTGCTTGTTATCCACCCGAGTTCCACTCGGGGACGAGAAATGTTTTCGTGGTCGACAAATACGTTCTTTGCTTCCCCCTAACCCCCTTTTTTGAGAAACGCTGAAGCATCATGACTAAGTTGTCGACAGCCCTCTGTGATTACTTGTTCTGGTTTGCTTGCTAACGGCACATTCACTTCAGCCAATAGCGTTCACCTGTGAGAGAAACTTCTAGAGCATTTCACGGCGCGTAGTTTTGGGGATCCTAAACTCTCGTCGGAATTCGTACTAAGTGCATTTTTATTTATTCACAATTTTACACGATAACCCCTCTATAACACAGTAAGCGTCGTCCTGGATGTCATAAGAAACGGCAAAATTTTAGAAGCGAACTTCCTAAGCAACGTTTAGGGGTATTCGGCCCGCAATTCAGCTTTTTGGTAACTGGTTGCGGCAAAGTGAAAGTGGCTTTTTTGCGCAAGCAGACGGGTCGAGCACATGCATCAGATGTTGGAGAACTGTAATACGTGAAAACATCAACCACACTTCCATTTAAATTTAGCTTTTAAGTACAAATGGGAAAGGTTGCAAGTCAAATTCTTTGAAATTTTCGTAGACGAGTTGATGCCATATAAGAGATTTTGGCGAAGACGTAAAACAAGCCCCCTAATCAGAAGATTCGGTCGATAATCACGCCCTTGGCAGTCAAATATCTCCTAGCGGTTACACTTGGTTAGAAAGATGACAGGCCGTCCTATGCGTGATACGTGTCGACAAAGGTGTCCGATTGGCTACAAGGCTGCTTCCATTAATTCTTAAACGGATTCCCAACAACCCATTAAACCAGCCCGCTTCGTTTCACGGCTACTGAATGCAATAGCGAAAGTAATCACGAAAGCGATGTTATTTTAGCGCTTTTTAAACTTGGTTTTTTTATTGAACTGTTCAGATAGAAGGGAGAATCTTCACGTAATACATGATTTAGCCAGTGTCCGAAAGTCATATGTACGAGGCGAAAATGTCAAGGCGAACGTTTGAGATATACTAGTAACAAAAACTGGAAAATTAGATTAACTCTTTTTTGCATAACTAATCGACGTCGGTCATTAACACTGCAAGCTTGGCCTCCGTTGAAGACAGATTTACTGCATCTGTTAGCAATCCTTTAAGGCACATCTGATGGCAGTCGCATAGATAAGGACTCTTCAGACGTACCGGACTGAGGACTGTGATGATTTGCCAATGCAGTCATTAACTGGCTTCGGTTGGTCCTTGACCACTCTCTTTTTCGAACTGGTTTTCTCTTCGGAATAGCAACAGTCAGAGTCTAGGGGATTCACACCCCGCATTTGTCTCCGTCATCTGTGGTGATTAAGACGCATTTGTTTGCGGACAAAAGGTCGTGGATATCAGCCTTGGAAACCGTTGTGGATGCCTTTCAACGTCGAATGCTGAGCAGTCGTTTGTCCCTTCGTTAGTCGATGTTGGCCCCCTGCCGCTCCTCACAGTACGCGCTCAACAGCATGAGGGCGGCATGAACTTGAAGATGGGAGTGAGAAGATAGCCCTGATGAAAACCATTTGTTGCCACAGATGCATCCGTGACTGACCTGCTTTCCGTGACTCATGTACTTCCAAGTCGACTTCCAAATCGTGCCGATCCCGAATTGCCTCTTAGTTGGCGTGGTTTATGCCTATACCAGCATTAGAGTCATCAAAGATAATTGGATTGTCCGTTTTATGCGCAGTCTGGAAGAGAGTGTGCAATTTATCGTAAATGCTGATGGGGATGGGAGGTCTGACTCCGCGTATTCGATGGCTCATAATTGCAAGACGATCGTTAATCCTCTGTGGGAGGCAGGACAAACGTCTTGCGACATCGTCCTTGATGATGGACGGGATTCTGACGTCTCGCCGATGTCTTTAACATCCTCTCCAAAAGAAAGTGCATACTACATCCAATTCCATATGTTATCCCTGCGGGTATAGCGAAGGGCCGCAGTGCTCACTATAGAGCTAACCAAGACCCTTCCAACCGCAGCCGTATAACTTTCAACTCGGCTAGCCATTGGATTTTCTAGAAGCGGGCAAATATTCAAGTTTGTCAGAGTAGGCAGTACCGACCTGACAGCTAGTGGGTAATTATGTGTGTAGGGATGGGATTTTTTGGTCGTAGCTCTAGAACGCATGTTTGTGCCCACAACCCGTGGTCAGCCGGTTAACTGCATGCTTTGCCGGCACCACTGGGGCATATTTTCTGGTTCTTCTCGAGTGGGGTGCGCAGTGCTTATCGAAACAGGGTCTCTGAGTCGGCCCAGATGGCTGTCACTCTCCTCCACTTGTCGGAACATTGTAGAAGTCGGAAGAGGATGCGAACTGGTCTAAACTGCTCACGAAGTTTGGTACCATCCTTCCCATGGGACATTTTGTATGGGGGTGTCAAGGTAGGATGATTATTGGTTCGGGGACTGCCGTGAATGAAAACGAGTACATGCCTGACCCCTTCACTCGGTCTAGCCCCTCCGTCGGCTATTGCTCGCTAGTACCATGCCCGTACCTCATCATTTCGGGCCTAGACGGTGTCGCCCATGCAACTTTTCCATGCGGGTCTTTCATTGGCGGTATAGTTGCGGCAGGTTCTGAACAGTGATGTTTTGTCGCGCAACAGCCATCTAATCACACCGATGTACAGCAAGTTCCGCCCAGCTACAATGTGGGTTCGCGCCTGGTACCTCCATTGCACCCGAATCTTCCAAAATAAAGTTGTCATATTGGCGTTGTCAACTAGTTATGGTATTTGGCAAATTCAGGATAAAGACTGAGTTTTATAAAGGTATATGTTAAATTTTGTAACCCTCCAGTGGAGTGGTTCCCGTAGAAATATGGATGTCCTGTGGAAGTTCTCTTCAAGATTATCTTTGTATAAATCTGCCCACTTAGTTAAATGCCCATCTAAGTTTGAAAGATTTTACCCTAATGACTATGCGAATATCATATGAAATATGTGTAAATGCCATTTCCCTATAAACTCAATCAATTTTGGCGGAGCCGGTTATAAAATTGAGCGGGTTTGCGAACGTGGTGTTCGATACTTTGAGGCCACCTCAAAATTTTAAGGTTAAAATTGGAAAACTTATGTCCTTGTGTAGTGCCTGCCTCAGTCTACTATCTACGTTTTACGATAAGGCCTGTTCTTTTCCCTTCTATCGCTAAATGTCACATCAGCAACGGGAAACTTATTGCTGAAACAGCAGAAAAAGCGGGCTCTTGCGGCCATTCGGGGTGAAGATTAGTTTTTTTCTATTGGAAATTTTATTCACCTGTTGTTTCGGTTTCAAATCTGTTTTAGTTACCATGAGGATCGTAAGTAATGTCTATTCCGTGTTCCCCGCCTGATTAATTACTCTGCCAAACCCTAGCAAAAAGCTGTTCCGGCGAATCATGACTCTTTTCGCAGGTAACAAACAAGTGCAGCGACTAGGTCTGTCGAGGTACGGTAGTTGGCAACTCAGGAGTTCGCAAGTAAGAAGAGGGGAAGCCAGTTAGGACGGCATGCCTTCATCGAGGCAGAGCCTACAGGCGGCGCCGCAAAAAGTTACAGCTAATGTTTTCATTAGGCAAGTGTCTCCCGAAGTCCGTCCGCGACTAATCAGTAGAGCAACATCTGTCAACGTTACGGCGTCGAGATCCGGAGGATAAATTCACGCCGTCAGGTGTCCTAAATCGCCCCTCCGCCATCTCCGACGTCGCCATCACCCGTCTGCCTCAAGTGGAGACCAACGGCGACCTCGAACTCCCGCCCTCCACGAAACCACCAGAACCGTGCAGCAACTCTGCAGTGAGGCAGCGGCTGGATCAGACGCGAGTCCAGCTGAGATTTACTAGCGTGACGGCCCCGACTTATGTATCGCCTGACAGCGCTCTTCAAGAGATATGGCGTCAAGGTCAAACCCCTCACGATCACGAGAATGTTATCATCGTTCGTCTCTAAAAGCCGATAGAAGATCGCAAAATCTGCGGTAACAACAGGGGATCTCGCTGTTACAAATCGCCGGCAATATATTCGCTGGCGTTCCTCTAATCGCCTCAACAATTGTCTGGAACGGGAACTCATGCCGATAAGCCAGTGCGATTATCACCGTCATCGCAATGCCACTGATGTGATTTTTGCCGCCCACTTACTCTAGGCGCAATGTCAGGAGATGCGGATTTATCCCCATTCTATTTTTGTAGTTCTGACGAAAGACTCTGACACGTTGAATCGCGAAGGACTGGGGAAAATCACGCAGAAATTCGGCTGTCCCGAACGGCTCACGTGGACGGTGTGTTAACTTCACAACGACAGGACGGTGCGCATCACGGTCAATGGGGCCGTCTCAGAGGCATTCGTAGTAACCAATGGAGTGAAGCAGGACTGTGTCCTTGCATCTACCCCTTTCAGTCGCCTGTTGTCTATCATGCTAGTGGACGTCTACCGTGACGAAGGCCCGGGAATCCGCGTCGCCTTCGGAATGGGCGGTCAACTCCTCAACGACTGACGAATGTACTTCCAGTCGTGTGTATCCATAACTAGCACTCACGAACTTCTCTTCTCCGACGACTGAGCCCTCAACGCAATTACCGATCGGGACGTGCAAAGGAGCATGAACCTCTTCGCTGAAGCCTGTGACAAATTCGGCCCGATCATCAACACGGAAACGACGGTGGTTATGGACCAACTGCCACCCAAAGCTGCCGAGAATACACCCCAAATCAACACGAACAACGCTCAACTGCAATCCGTGAACAACTTTACCTGCCTGAGCAACAGCCCGGTATATAGCGGAGATCTGGACGATGGACAAGAAGCAGGCGCGGGAGCTCAACCACTTCCGCCTCAGCTATCTTCGGTGCATAGTTAAGATGGGGTGGCCTGACCGGATCACGTGTATGCACGCACTGGATCCAAGAGGAAGCCTCATATCCACGTCATGCTGAAACAACTGCAACTGCGCTAATGGGGATTCTTCGTGCAGGTGGACGACAAGCGGTTACCTAAGCGACTCTTTTATGGAGTCACGGGCTGCCATCGACCAGGATGTCAGGTCCGGCGCTACAGGGACACTCTAAAGACTTCCTCAAAGCGCCGGCAGATCAACCCGACCCGACCTCTCCGGAACAAATCATCCCGGAAGAGTACAGCGAAGACAGAACCAGCCATCTACAAAGTCAACCTTGTCACTGATGCTAAAGATGAACGTGAATCTCGCAAACGCCAACCGTCCTCACCTCGCAACGCTAAAGTTCGGTCGCTCCAAACATGTCCACGGCGTCAGCGAACTTTCCGGGTATTAGTCAGTCTCATAGGACACCCTCTTGCAGAATGCACCAACAACCTGGTGTTTTCCTCTCCCACTCCCGCCCCTGCTGTAAACTCCCAACCTACCGCCACCCTCATCGCCGCCGGTCACACTGTCGCTGCCCCGCCGACATCGTCCATCCTGCCCCAGCCTCTGCGTCGACCACGGCGACCAGCTCCATCAACACCAAAACACATCTCGCACTCACCCCTCTCCAACAATCGGACGGCGTCCGAAGCCCAGTCACCTGCTACTAGTACCACCAGCATCCACACGCAGCGATGTGGGCACAGTCCATACCTCTCCTCGTTTCGATTGCACAATTACCTCACACATGGACCTGGTCGGTCACTTGCGAATCCGTAGCACAGAGGTTGGCGGACAAGTGCCTTGAGCGCCAACCTGCACTCGCGCCATCCGTCTCAGCCGTTTTTATTGCCCCCGCAACTTCACTCATCATGTGGGCCTATTAGATCACATGCGCATCCACGAACACCTACGTCTCTTATGCCATGATTCTGCAAACCATGGATCTCACGTCCTGGTGCAGGCTTGCTGTTGTCTCACATCTGGTTTCCTGCCGACAGATGCGCTTACGCTTCCGCTGGATGTACAGGTCCTGAGCGTGGCTGCCCAGTTCTCCTCCTTCTTATGACCCGTTGTGTTACTGTTGATTAAAATCCCGGCCAGGTGTCTGCTATGGACCAAGGGGTGTGATGGTAGGCCTAGGTGCGGGTCCGGCCGTGCCAGTCATCTGCGTCTTCTCCCGCCTGCCGTCCCCTTGACTATGTTCTGATACTAGACACGGGAGTGGAGGAAGATGTTGAGTTGCTTATACTTAAATATTCCGACAGTAGAGACAAGGTAAATTTTAAACGTTCGATTGACAAGCGTGACCCAATGACACTGTTTTCGCTATCACAGGCATCTACAGACACAAGGCGAATTGTCTGCCGGAATGATTTAAACCCGAATATACTCTGAATGTATTTTTACGGAGTGACATTACAAAGGTCAAGTCACACGCATTAGACGGAACGGAGCAACATTTGTAAGCGGGGGCCCTGAAGAGCGTAGGTGCAGGCAGGTACATTATTCCGCCGAGACATGCGGTGGTGTAGCAATACGATGGAAATGTCCATTTCTAAAAAGTGAGAAAGCAAAAAATCAAATGAGCGAATAGGGCGCAAAGTCAGCATGATACGGGCCGGGTAGGAATGATGACATGTTCAGTTGTACGCTGCAGTAGAAGAGCTGGATGGTAATAATGCTGACGACGACGAGGACGACGAGGAGGAAGAGGATGGTGGGGAGGAGGAGAAGGAATGAAAGAAGGAAAAGGAGGGGAGGCTACGTTTTCAGATATTGTGCAGGGAAAGGCGGGAAGCCGATAGGAGCGAGGGCAGGGTGGGGAAGGATAAAAAGAGGGAGAAGAAAGTGTGGGTTAACGCATTTGTCCCTGAGGTAGGTCCGGTGGTTTGCTAGGGACGGTGGCCTTGATCCGACAGATGCCGATCACATCCACTTTTCACCGCGAACGATCCCGCAGGCCTTGATAGTGCGCATGAGTATACGCAATGGTCTTTTCTAGTGATGATGCCAGTGGCTGGCACACACAATTACGCTAAACAAAAACAATAATGCATGTTGCTATACCTCTGTCAGCGTGAGACACGGTCGGGGGATTTTAGGTGGAAGCGATAAAAGCGAACTCATAAATCCCTGCTAACTGTGCATACAATTGGCAGGACTATC